AAATCTGACGTGTTTTAATGACATGGTATTGATCTGTAATAATTTTTGACATGTCATCATTTTCCGTTAGTTAACTGGACACATCATTGAATTTTTAACGGAAGGACCAAATCGGGGTAAAAATGGTAAACAGTATGGACCAAATCAGGGATTTTTTGAGTTCATGAACCAAATCGGGGGTCCGTACAATAGTTGAGAGACCAAAAAGGGGTTTTAACCTTAATATAAAAGTGTATTCTTAAGATTGTATGGATATAAATTACTTTCAAAATACATAAAAATTAACTTAAAGACACTTTAACCATTTAAACAAAAAAATAATTGTATTTTTTTATTTGGGTCATGTGTGAATTGATATATATCTCACTTGTTGTGACTTTATATTATATATAAAGCTTAATACACCCAAAAAAAAAAAATGCTGAACTAGATAATGGTGATTTTGATTAATATTTTCTTTCAAAATGATATAACATCCACTCCTCAACGTAAGGGAAATAACAGAAATAGCAAAATGCTCTTAAACAAGCCAAAAGACTAATTAAGAAGCTGATTTCTTTAGTTGTATGCGTCAGGGTTTGCCAGGAGGTATCCTTCAACAGCTTTGAACAATCCCAAGGCCTTTTCTTTCCCGACCTTGATATCTTCTTCCTTGATCTCAATGTCACCAATGGCGTGATACTTGCTGCTGCTCTTGCAGATTGATCCTCCATCTGAACCTGCCACAAACTTGGTCTCATAAGAGATTTTCTCGAGGGTGTTCATCAAGGCATCACCTTCTATCACATTGTAGTTGTATCTGAAGCTCTCCTTGTCTATTGCTTCGATTTTGTGCTGTACATACTTGAATTGGCTTCCTAAAAATAAAGAAAACTTCAGTTACTTGCTTTAGAAGAAACAAAATTAGATTCATAATGTGAAATGTAATGATGTGTTAGATATGATTAACGAAACTAAACCTTCTCCAAAGGAAATTGAGAGATATTGATGGTCAATATTGACCCATATAAAGTCACGCTTTGTGGAATAAGGAAGAGGTTCTGCCTTCTAAAGGTTGTGTTGTTCCTCGAACACTCTCTTTTATCTCCACATTATGTCATTGTTGTGCTTCAGTCACAAGATCATAATATAATAATTAATAAACTTATCAAAAAATGTCAATAAGAAAATATTATCGAAATAGGCATGAAAAGCTTACTTATTTTAAGGTGATTCATGTCTCTACGGAGAGTAGATCAACCGATGCAACAGAAATTCATTTAGCATGTCGCCCCTAGGATACTACAGCTTTATAATTATACTCTATAGATCTGCATTACCCATAGAGTCACCTAACTCAAAACACCCTTTTTTACCCAAAAATATTTTGAAGATAAAGTGAAGTAAGAAAATTAGGAGAATGTGGAGAAACACCCTTTTTTGAGTAAATAGACATGTCCTATTTATAGGGTTAATGGTCTCATAACTTCCATTTGTAGGTTAATGATAGGAATAAATTGAGTAATTATTATGTAATAATGTGCCCTTAAGTAGGATAATTAACTTACAACGACTATTTTAACTAAGTCCTTAATAGGACAATAAATTTAATTTATAAAATATATTATTTTATTTTTTATTAAAATATTTAAGTTCTAACAATTCCCCCACTATTTTAATAAAAAATAAACCTTTTTTTTGGGCAAAGATGAATTATTATGCATAATAAAGGTAGTTAAACCTTAAACCTTTACTTAGTGAGTCAAGAATTCTTAATCCAAAGTCAATAGTGAACTAAGTCTTGAACTATGACTCCATTGGAAGATACAAGAATTATATCTCACGCACATAATGATCCGAATGTTGAGTTTTTCACATAGCTGACACGTTATGGCCTTGCGCATGATATCGGTTTTCATGGGTGATCTAGAAAATTGCCCATCCAATTTTCATAGAAGCGACCTCATTTCAATACCCACATAGGTGAAATTTGTCAAGAGCGCTCCCATAATTAAGACACTTCACTCATTGAGTTATAAATTTCATTAAGAGTATATAACTCAACCATCAATTCGTTATGTGATAGATGCATCCTCACCTTAGGAATGGGACCGAAATTTTTTTTTTTTCATTAAATATTGAAGTATCTTTCAATAACGACTTCTCTATGATTTGTTTTTCCCATTCAAAACCCAATTCTTAGAATTCAAGTTGGGTATCTTCAGAGGAAGTTCTACATTATTGGGCTTGAATCACATTCTCCTCGATAAGCACTAGACTTTGGACTATGATCATAGATTTTCCTCCAACTTTTATTTTTGCCAAAGGCCTAGTTGATAGTATAGTGGGTAATGAAGAGAATTAACCAAAGTAGTCAATACCGTACCGGTATGCGTACCAATTTTGCTACTGAAACGGTACGTACCGGATACCGAAATTTTTCATGTACCGTTTCAGATTTATCGCTATAACTATATATTTTTATAAATTAAATATCAAATTTTAAAATAAGATAAGAGATACTAATATTTAAAACTATGATATTCTTATAAATTAAAAATAAGTTTAAAATGATCATTTTTAGTCTCTCAA